GAGCTCTTCAAGCTCACAACTGGATACGCTCCACAGGCACGTAGCAGGGTTATCATAGTTGACTAAAACTAGATGTGAGAAAACATTCAGACGTTTGAAAAAAAGTACAACTAACTAACTAAAAATAGAAATATAGAGGAAATCTGTTACTTTGGTTAAACTATTATTATACATTTTACGTCACCGAGTCGGTGACAGATGTGTTTGAGACTCTGGATGTCTACAAGACTGAGCCAGCTTCTTTCAAATAGAGTAGTAATACCTGTGCTGATTTTCCTGTAGGCCCTTCACACAGTAACAATTAAATGGACTGCTTCTTATATAGTGCTTTTCGACTCTCACTGAGCACAAAGATGATTTCATACAACTTGTCTCATTCACACAAATGTCGAACTGCCAAACTTCCAATTAGTAGATGATCTGCTCTACCTCCTGAGATACTGCCACCCCTAAAAAGATCAATTAAAAAGACCAATATAAACTCTGAAACGATTAAAACGAAGCTAAAACGAAACCTTTTGAAACAATAAAAACTAAACTGACAGAAGAATGAATTAAAAACAAATGAAATAAAATTAAAAACTCATTAGAAATGACAAAACTATAGTACCTCCAAACAGACTGAGACAGAAACACTGCCTTTACACTGGGATTGCTTATTTGAAAAAGTAACTAAGCAACTGATTGCACGACTTGCATAAGCAGCCCTGTGGCCACACTCATTGTAATGCACGCAGACTTGCAGAGGATGGTGCGATATTACACTTTAGAATCAAATGAAAGCATCCAGCAGTGCTAAATTGCATGTGAGCCACTCTTGACCTCTTTAAGACCCCAGAATCTGCTAATGGGCCTTTCTGCCTATTGCCACAGTAACTTCTGACAAAAAGATTTGCTCTGTTTGTTGCTCTAAGAATCAAGCTCAATGCACAGCCGAACAAGAGCCAAAACAAATATTTATCGACCTGAATAGTTGTTGCCAAATCTTAACATGAGAGAATATTAATTTGGCAAAAAGCAAATTGTAGCAAATAAGAGTCCTGACCTTTGATGGTGATCTTTCTCTAATTTGTAATTTAAAAAAGTGTTCTTTTTTTAAAATCCATTTGACTTAAAGCACTTTGCAAAAAAATTCTTAGAAATGGTCAAAAATGATGGCTGGGTCAACAAAATGTGACTTTAACATCTGAGTCTAGTTTTTCATTTTATACATTGGGTGACATCACTGCTGTGATCTTTCCCAAGAAGATTCTTCACCTGTACAGACCTAATCCTCAACCATAGCAGCAGCTCATGGGTTGCCCCGATAATCTGTCTAATCCCTGGTCACACAGGCCTAGCACTGCTGGTCTTTGAGTAAAGAGTTTGCTCAAGGTTGATTGCAGCTGCTAGCATGAAATTGGTTGCAAGGAGGTATACAGGTCTGTCCCAAAACCCTCCCTGCAATTGCTTTGGTCAGTAGCTGGTTGCTGAGGTTGCCCGCCTTGCAAACTTGTCTCTAAGCTGCAGTGAACCTGAAGACCGTTTGCCTTCAAAGTAAAAGTTTAGTTTTATGAAAAGCGCAGGCGACTGTGGAAATTTGTCTCCTTTTTTCTCTGCTAGTATTTTATCTCCTTCCTAGTCTGGTTTTAGGAAATTGCACAGTACTTTGTCTATTTTCATGCAGATGATACAGTTATTTATTGTTGTGCTTGCACCGTCCACATGGTTTTTGAACAGTTACAACTAGCTGATTGTGTACACTCTCACCTCTGTCAGCTCAGACTGCTTTTAAATGCTCTTCAGCCTGCAGCACTTCCCTCTCTTGTATCTGCTCAAGGCATCTATTAAAACTGTGACCTCATGCAAATACTTGCGTATTGTGATTGATGATAATCTTTCCATTAAGCCACACATTGAGCACCTGTTAAGGAAACTTGAAGTTGGGCCTCTTTTTCTGAAATCGATTGTGTTTCTCTTTCACCGCAGAAAAAAGGCTTGTTGCTACCACTTTTTTACCCGTCCTAGATTACGGTGATATAATTTACACGAACACCTTTGCTCATTCTCACCATCTTTCGGACTCTGTTTATCACAGGACACTTTATGATTTATGACTGGTTGTAAACCTTTAACACATCACTGTACTTTATATTTTCTGGCTGGCCCTCGTTGGCCTTATGCAGGATGATTCACTGGTATAATCTATAAATCTATTTGTGATTTACTCCCTGCTTATATATCAGATTACATGTTACATAAACATCTTAGTCATAGTCTGCAGTCTCTTCATTACATTCATCGTTCCATCAGTTTGTGCAGAACTTGGAAAACAGGATTCTCCTTTTCTGCTCCATGTTCATGGAAAACATTACAGAAGGATTTGCAGCTCTCAGCTGATTTCACTTGCAGATGTAAAAGACGTACAAATGACCCTGTAAAATCATCACTAGGAACGTATTCCTGTTTCTGACATGACTGTGTAAACATTAGACTCTTTTTTTTTTTTTTATATTTCCTATTTAATTGCTGTTGTATTTTTGTTGTCATTTAATACGTTTGTCTCTCTTGTAAATGAGACATCGAGTCTAAATGGGGCTACCTGTATAAACAAAGGTAAAATAAAAACCAATTTTGTCATCTAAACTCTGGTAATTTTAGTCTTGTTAATTAAATAAAATATCATAAGATTCTTGTAGACTAAATCACAAGTTGATTCATTTGACTAAAATTTAAGGTTTGTTGTGTTTTTACCGGTAAAAGTTGCTCCATGTGGTTTATACAGAGTCGTATTGTTCTTGGCATCAAATGCAAAATGTGTCCGAGTGTTTTTACTTAACCTCCTAGGACTGCCGTCCACATATGGGGACATGACATTTTGGGTTGTCTAGACCACAAACTAAATTTTGCTCTTTCAAATGAGCCATATGGCTCAAAGGGGCACAGTTGTTGTTCCACAGTTGTTGTTTTTGTGCTCAGGAAAAATTCTGCTGTGTTCAGACTAGAGATGGCACGATACCACTTTTTTTATGTCCGATACCGATTCCGATATCATAAATTTGGATATCTGCCGATACCGATATGAATCCGACATACTGTTTTTTAATCAACAAAACAGTTTTTTAAAATATCTTGCTGCATTTTGTATAAGTTCATACTCAAGTTTAAAACAACAACTACACTAAAGCTATTCTGTTATACCTGTATGCAAAAAAAAA